TTGTTCAAATTAAACCATTTATCGCTTAACTTGTAATCTATATAGATCCCGATTGTTTGTTTGTGTTTTCGTTTACTCTTCTATGTTATAATATTCTAACCATTATAACATAGAATTGGAAGGAAAAAAAAAATGGAACCATGGTTGTACAGTCATTATACTTGCAATGGTTTCATAGATATATATATACAATATTCTCATTTCGTTTCAGATTTTGTTGTATAGTATGTTTGTGTGTGTATGACGATGAGATATCACTATATGACTTTTACTAATTTAAAATAAAATTATGAAAAAAATATTGAAGGGAGGAGAATGTTGGTGATGGGAACAGGACCATCGATAAGTGGACGAGGTGGTGGTGGTGCTCCTCACTAGCTAGTTTCGGTTTAGCCATCATCTCTTTATAATTTTCAATTTTCTGTTTAATGAAAATGTAATTTTTATTTTCTGCTATCACAAATCAGGCTTTTTGAAGTCTCAGTTATGTAATGTTTCCTGTTTGTTTTGAATAACATTTGCTAAATTCAGTAGTTTGATGAGATCATAACCGATGAGATCATGAGTAAACCAAGATTGACTTGGTCAAAGATTGAACCGAGATATGGCATCACCTTCACATCACGTTCCATACTTGTTTAGCGGGCAGTTAATTTATGAACATCTTTCTTGTGTATTTAAGTGACGATTGTCTTATCAAATAGAGGAAGAATGGCCGTAACTTGTTCTAAAATTTTGAGAACCAAAGTGTTCTTATCTTTATTCTTGATCAACATTGGTGGAACCTTAATTGGGACCTATCATAGTTCTTTTCTGTTTCAATTCATTTGCTATTACTTTCTACGCATCATGCAATGTCAATTCGACTAACGGATCGGATATCGAATATAGTTTTGCATGTTCCAGAGAACAAAAGAGAAAAGTTTAGATTCTATAATAATCTTAAAAAGAACAGTAGAGCATTAGACTCATATTGATAGAAAATCTTAAACTTTTTGGTAATTTCAATGTAAATAAAATGCTTAATTTTATGTTTTGTTTTCAAATTTCCTCTAAACTTTCAATGTGGAATTTGAAACACGTAGTCAATTCAATTAATTAAAACTTTACATCAATTGGTATGTCGCATCACACAAAGACCAAGAGATACATGCATGTAGTATCCATGACTTTAGGTACTCGGAATTATAATACATCTAATTGGTGATATAAGACAATGCAAATGTTTCGATGGTACGAGATAATAGTAAAAGATGACAATATAATTAGAAACACTATAAAATAGAGATAGAAAATAACAAAACAACAAAAGAAACAGTAATACCAGTCCTTACAACACAATATTTTTTACCATTTTACAAAATGGTACCGTA